TTGACTAGAAGCCATTGAAATCCCAAGTTGACAGTCATCAACCTGGTCGATGCCACCGTAGTCAGGTATCGGGGACGTGGGAGCCTGTAGACAGTCGCCACTGCCATCCCACTTAATCCTGTTCTTGCCGACAACAACTGCTACTGTTTTACGTCGTGGGTATACTTCTCCTCCAGTTTGCCGGCTGCCGGTCGTGGTATACCGTGGACAACCGTGGTTGTTGACTTCAGCGTGTGGGAAGCTTCCTGAGATATTTTCTCTTTGGCTATGGCTGGTCTTGCACAGCCTAAATGCTGGATGATCGGTAAATGGCCAGTGTGAGTGTAGGCGGCAGGAAATTTTCTGCCTCCCTAGCCAAGCCCAGGGTCTCTGTCATCGGAGATGGGGCTTCCACTGAGCTGTAAAGCAGTATTTTTCTAACCTCCATAGCTTTACGTCTAAGCTGCCTGATCCTAACGTGGAGCATATCGTTTGCCACTGCCGCTTGTCAAAAGATTCCCTTTTCATGGGTGCTTTCATGACACGCGGGGACGTCAAATAAGGTAGCGGAATTCTATCTATCATCTACGTCCATTTTCTCGTTCGCTGCAGGCAGGCTTTTATGGGAAGGGTGCACTTTCTTTTCCCCTGTAAACCATTTTTACCGATGTACAGGGAGGGTAGCCGTTAAAGCAGCCTCAAAATTTGTGGCTGATATGGTTGGTTGCATAGCTAGTCATCCTTTGAGCCTTTCTGGACTATTCACATGTGTGACTCTTGAGGCTTGGACCGTCACTCACGGTAGTGGTCCTAGCGGGCGCCGTCATCTCAGTAGCCACCGATATGTCTGTTACAACCTCCTCGAATGAGCCTGTAGAAAGAAGCAGAGTTACACGGCTCTGTGGACAGATTTACTGGAACCACGTGCATAGGTGACGTGCCATTAAGGCGTAATATTGGTCTGGTACGTCCTTATCACACTGAAAACGTACCTACTTGTTGCAAATGTCTCACCCAAAGGCAGCGTTCCTTCTGGCTACTTGAGACCAAATGTGTGACACTCGTCAGCTTGGCCGGAAGGTTTAGTCAGGGGTCTTCTATTCCCTGTGATAGTAGCCACAGACTGGTTAGAGGTTCACCAACGCGTGCCAAAAAGACAGGCTGTTCGCTGGGAGGAACTAAGTGGGTTCTGAGGGAAAGGAACTCGACTTTATCTGGGTATCGGTAGTCATGACTGTTCTCCTGAGGTAAGCCCTCGGTTTTAAACCTCTTGCCTACAGTACTAGTTACTGCCAAAGGAGGGGAGGTGACACTTTACTTGAGGTGTTCTTGAGACCAGATTTGGCTAGAACGCCGCTGCTACTCTCTTCGAAGGGTGGTTAGGGGGATAAAGGGCGGGATAAAAATCCTCAGGGCAAGTGAAATGTGGTAAAACAATCATAACTAAAGTAAATTGCCAACCTTAACTAGGATTGGTCAGTCATACGGTACAGAAGAGTGCCAAAGCCTTCCCAAAAGTCCAAGACACATGATCGAGCGAGATAAACGGTACTCCCGATGCAGCAACCTGAACTGTAGAAGCTGAAAGAGACAGTTATACATACCACACATTTGTTCGTTTCGAGAGTGACGGTACTAAACGACACAGGACTGAACCTTCCATAAACAATTTTTCAGCAGAACTTTAAATTTCGGAGAAGTAAGATCCGACTTGGAGGTGTATGTGTGGTTCTTTCCAAGGGGAATGGAGACGAGGCAATGTACGTCACTATTCAATTATTCGACTGTGGCATCTAAATCTGCACGCCCCTAAGTTACCACAGAACTCACGGCAAAGCGAGTCTCAGCTTTTAAAGTCAAAGCCGATTACAGCATGCGTGATTCGAGGTCATTCACTTTTTTCTACTTTTCATTCATTTTAGTTAATGGTCTCTGTAGGTTTCTCTCATATTGCAATCTCTTCCGTTCACTGATGATCTTACCATGAGTGCACCTCACACTGTGGTGACCTACCATCCTTTCAAACACGGGTGAGGTAAGAAAGTGGTCTGTCAACAAGTTGGTTTATCATGTGGAAGCTTCAGTTCAACTTAGATGAGTGTGAATGTATCTGCTCCGGTGCACTCATCTTAGTAAACGATTGAAAATATTGCGGCCTGTGAAGTTACGTATTCTCCACGGTGCCGCCAATATAAACATTTTAATACTTTTCTACGAAAGCTGTGACTAAAGCAATAAAGCGTTCTGAAGAATTTCATTTTGATTCTGTCACCAAGCTGGAACCCTATTGAAATAAATTCATATAACTGTGAACTGTTAGTTGGATATCGGGGCCATCAGTCACAGCGTACCAGAAGTAACACACAATCAGTTGGAACCTCACGGTTAAAGCGTGGAACAGAGGGGCTTATCCAGAGCAAGAAGCAGGCTCGGTTCAGGTGGCTTCCTTCACGCAGGGAGTCTGACTTCTTGAACTATAAAAGGATTCGCAACCGCCGTAACATCAGAGGTCGTAGCAACAGATTTCCCTATGAAACAAACTTGGGGCGAGGTTACAAAGCAATCCCAAAAACTTGTACCGCTTCATGTCGAGAAGAAAGTCGACCAGTAAGGGAGTGAATCTTGTCACAGGCCATGATGGGAGTATACTAGGCAGTCTAGAGATTGCCGAGCTTTTGAGCTCACACTTCCAAGCCCAACCTGGCACTGACACAAGATCCACACCGACTCGCTACGACACCGACCAGGTCGTAAATAACGAATACCTCTGTCACGTCTCTATTACAGAGAAAAAGTGTTCGAGAAGCTATCTAGGCTACGTCCGGGCAAGTCCCCTGGCTGCGATAACCTAAAACCAGTGGTTCTGAAAAACTGCGCCGAGGTGCTTACTAAACCACTTCGCAACCTCTTTGAGCACTCAATAGACTCGTGCAAACTCCCTAAAGAATGGAAGAGCTCCATCTTGTCACCCATCTTCAAGGGAGGAGACAGAAAAAGCCCTGGCAGCTACAGGCCAATTGCTCTACTCCCTATTGTGTCGAAAGTGTTGGAAAGCCTGGTAGCTGACACCATCTGGGAATTCCTCAATAGGGAAAACACTGTCCACACTGCTCAGCATGGCTTTCCGAGTGGTCGCTCATGTGCCACCAACTTACTAACCACCTGGGACGACTGGACACAAAGCTGGGACAACAGAAAACCGGTACATGTTGTATTTCTCGACCTAGCCAAAGCATTTGACAGTGTCCCACCCACAGTACTGCTTCACAAGATCATGTCAGCTGGTATAAGTGAACCCCTACTCTCTTGGTTCAAGGAGTACCTGGAAGGGAGGCAGTTCTGCACTAAAGTGAGCAGAATAAGGTCGGAGTGGAGACCCTCGACGTCAGGAGTATCCCAAGGAGCAATCCTAGGACCGCTTCTGTTCCTCCTGTTTGTCAACGATCTGCCAGATAAAATATCCTCACCCATCCTCCTCTTCGCTGACGACATAAAAATTTGGAGGGTGGTAAACGAAGAAGCTGATTGTACAGCACTACAAAAGGACTTGCAGCAACTCGAGCTCTGGTCGTCGGAAAATGGCCTGAGCTTCAACCTGGAAAAGTGCAAAGTAATGCACATCAGTAAAAATGAAGCAAGTACGACCGACTTCCAGTACATGTTGAGCAACCGTGCTATCACCAGAGTGTCCATGGAGAAAGATTTGGGGCTCAACTTCTCCGACACCTTGGACACCAGCTCCAACTACAAGGTATGACAACCAGAGCGAACGCCATTCTACACTTTCTGCGTAGACAGCTTGGCGCCCTCACTCCCGAACTCTTCCTCACCATTTTCAAATCCTACGTGCGGCCGCACCTAGAGGTCTTCAATACGGTGGCTCCTCCAACACTCAAGAGAGACTCTAATCTCCTTGAAAGAATACAAAGAACTGCAACAAAATCAGTTGTGGGGCTAAGGGGAAAGACGTATCCTGAAAGACTTAAACACCTAAACCTATTTACCTTGGGTTATCGCAGGAAAAGGGGTGACCTCATTATGGCATACAAGATCGCCCATCAGGCAGACCATGCAAACAAATCAATTTTGCCTGCAACTCAACGATCTTCACGAGGAAACCCCATTAAGATAGCACACCAGAGAGCCAACACCATACTCAGGTCCAAATTTTTCTCCCTAAGAGTATGTGCTTTATGGAATGCCTTACCGCGACATATCGTTATAGCTCCCTCAGTCGACTCATTCAAGAGGCGATTAGACAGTTATGTCACCTCGCATGGACTACCACGGACGTACTCAGGTAGTCACCAACGTCACTAGCCCCCAACTCCCTCCTAACTACCACTCACTATCTCTCTCCTTAATACACCCACATTACCTACTAGTTCTTCTGTAGGAACCAAACCCACGCGACCATTCGCGCAATTCCCAAATGCTTTCCTTTCGTTCTTTTTTCACCCCTCATTTTCTTCTCCTTCCCTTTTCTCTTCCCTTATTATCATTCTTTCTTCTCCTTTTATCTTTTTTCTTCTCTCTTCATCCTTCTACCACTACCTTACTATTCTCTTCCAGGTACCTACACAGACAGGAGTCACGCCAGTTCCCTAAACTTCCCAGCAATCCGTAGCTCCCCAGTCACTCTACAAATTACAACTTACCCACAAAACATCCACCTCACGGAAGCTAAAAGCAAGAAAGCAGAGGGGATTTCCTCGTCCACTGCAAAAGTGAACCGAGCAACTTGAACCAAGCCCTAAGAACCAGACTCGAGAGATCAAAAACTACCAGTTTTCTACTCTCGTACTACATTGGATAATGGATATCGTAGGAACGCAGTAAACATTTATCAAATGCATATACGATCGACTCACAACTAAATCTGAATGCAATATAACTTTGAATGTATTGATTTTCATAAGGCTAAATATGGGACGAATGGACATTGAATGGTCGTTATAACTAACTGATTCCCACGGCATTCGGTCATAAAAGAACCGTGGGAGTTCGGTTTGTGTCATAAGATGGTCGTTCATTGGATTTTATTTCTACTGATTCATTCCGTATCGATAGCTAGTGCATCAGGTTTGCAATTTCACTATTTTACTTAGTATTTAGATCAAGTTCTATGGGCTGAATTCAACTCAAATGTTACACTTTGCTGCAACCTAACTCTCAAAGGTATTTCTTGATTCATGCTATTATATATCCTGCCTAAATGAAATTCACTACCTATATAATTAATTTTGCGGCAAATTGCACTGTGAAATTAATATTCTGATGCTCAAACAAGCAGCGACTGTGAAGTGGGTATCAGTGTTTTGTAGCCCAGACAACACTTTCTTCGGGCCAAATAAGGGACTGTTAGACTACTCACTATAGAAAATGTCCGGCCAGGTTCAGGGTTTTTGTAACATTTTCTCTTCATTGTCCCGATCTTTTTATGCCTTGCACTTGGTCTCATGTTAATCACATATAGTCCTACGTTTGACTTTTAACAATTGGCCCAGTGTGAGGCTGAATTCGTAGGTTGCATCGTAGGAAGGCTGGAAACCACTGTTCATTTTCGGGCTTATTGCTGAGAATGACGTATTCATGAACACTTTGGTGGCCAGTTACAGTTGATGACCACGTACTCTCGATCAACACCCACTAACACTATCTCCATCTGGCTTTTTCTGAAGAGCCAAGCGCTATTTCAAATCTTTACAATGTGTTTCAAGTTTTTCACCGTGTTTATTCTTATTCATCCCGATAAGATACGATCTGAAGGCCAAGTAGGTCACTGGTACACAAAATATAAGCCAAGAGGCATTCAACGGTTCGCGTTCCCGTGCTATATTTCTATCAAGAAATGAAATGTACACTAAACACATATCACTTTCTGGTGAGTTTTGTTCATATAAGCTGTTATCTTTTTCATTCGAAATTAGGCAGAATAGTTGACCCGCTATCAGCTACTCATATTTTCGCGTTATAGAATTGGTGAACTAGTTCTTTGAGCTTTCGTGTTACTTTGGCTGCAGGAAATTGGTGAGGCCACGTGCACCTGTTTTATCGTAATACGTGGTTTCTTAATCCCCCTGCACTTTGTCCGGCGTACACAATGTATGCAGATACTTTCCAAATGTTTGAGCACACAAACACAGATTAAATTACACTAGCTACACATTTTATTGGGTATTTTTAAACCATTAGGCTCTATAAATAATTCGTCTATACAGAAGTGGCATTTCGAAAATGTATCACATCATTATTACCACTTATTGTTCTCGATCGAATTCATGTGGGGCAGTTTGTTTGAATCTATGGGATAATGACCTAAAAGTATTTCTATTACTTGACATACCGTTGTGTTTCATATCTGTTTTCAACCAGAAAAGGTGAAGTGATCCCTAAAAGTAATCAATTTGCTGTACAAATTTGTCTGTAGAGATTTAGTCGTGGTTTTCATCAAAAGATTATTGACAAGCATGCCTAACTCTCGCGAATTTTAATCTCCATAGTATAAACAGCATTTTTTTGTTCAAAATTATCAGTGTCTGAAGCAGATCACTACATATTGCAGGTTTTCTAAATCTTATACTTCTGTTCTTCATTCTCCAATCTAGATGTGGTACTAGATTGTAGTGGACCCAAAGAAATGTCAAGTAAACCAATATGATAAACTACGTATAATTTACAAAAATAATGACAATGTTATGCATAATAACTGGTTATTTGAATGTTATCTCTTCACTACTGTCCACCACAATTTAGTATACTCCAGAGTTCAGAAGGCAATATTTGTTAGCTTTCCATAGTCGATTTTCATTGGCTTGATTGTAGCATTATCCGGAAATAGGAGGAGAGATCCCGTAAAATCCAAAGTCAGTCAATGAGTATTCACGAAAGACAACAGTCAACGAAGGCAGAAATCGGAATGCACAAAAGCACACTATATTTCCACGTTTAACAGCAACAGCGAAGTTAGTAATAACCGCCACAACCAAAAGTGTGTACAGACAAACGATATTACGTTTTGTTTGTATTTGGGAGAATGTACAAAATGTGTAAAAAGCGATGGAAAGGAAACATTATTTTCAATTTCAGTGGTTTATACACAATTTCATGCAGTCTCCACAAGTTCATGAAGTCGCTGACTATTGCTATGAGTTATGAACAGAAATTTAGACTACCTTGTTAACGACCTCAAAGTGCTGAGAGTCAATAAGTAGACATTCAGTCATAAATTAGTGCTTGAACCAACTTTTTATGTCCACTTCCCAGACCACGAATGCCTTAAAACGTACTTTATGGATAAATAACCTGCATTGTAATTGCCCAACTAGCAAACATATACACTTGTCAGACAGGTCTTTAAAACGTTTATAAAGTACCAGCTTGGTTGCCATTAAGCATCTGCAGCAGTTTAAACCCAAAAAACAAAAAATTATTTTGCTAGTCCACCTTTCATATTTAGACCATGTGCCCGTTTATGAGTACTACACAGAAGGTAAAAGTATGGGGAGGGTCTTGTGTTTGCTCCCTTTCCCAAGTATACAACCAACTGCTGATTTGCTGTTGTATGAGATGTCTTCATGACAAAATTATAAGTCTACTTAATGAATGATTTAGGATAAACCATTACAAGCTTATAAGAGTAGTACCATTATCTCCACTCTTTATCTTCATCTCGATGTTACCGCTTATTCATTAGTTTTTGAATTTTCAGTGTATACTATTGTTGATTATTTTTCTGTAACATTTGCAAAACGTGTGACTGTTTAATCTAATTGATCTATAACCTTATGTTAGTCCATTCGGCATACCGGTTTTCTTCGAAATGATGATATCTCAATAACTTCAATGTTGATGAATGATTTTTATTTCTCTCCTTTGAATCACTTTTGTACTTTACAGAAACAGAAGCTTTGGTATTCTCTGTCAACGATCAACGGCTCTCTTCCTTAGTTTTAAATCCAAATTCAGAGCCTAAAAGTTACGTATCGAAATCAGCTAGAAATTGGATCTTCGACAGAAAAAAAAGAAATGATATTTGTGCTACGAAACTAGATAATCAACTCACGGAAGTAGATAATCATACTAGAATTACTTGTGAAAGGGCCTCAGAAACAGGTCTTGGTGACACGATCGAGAAAAAGTTTATCACTCTGAAATTCTATGGTAAGTTTTTGTAGAATTTTGAGTTAGCTTACTGACACTTTCATCGGTTGATAAACATAAATCTCAATATGGTGGCATGTTTTTCAGTTATATCCACCACTTTTTTAATTTCACTCACCGAAATTAATAATAAGAGGAAGTATCCACAATAAGAGTTAGCCACCTTGATAAAGCTGAGTGGTTGCGGGCCACTATATTGTGATATTTGAAATTGCACTTCAGTCACTCGTATAGGGAGTTGCTTAAGGTATTTGTCTTTGAAAAACTTGTTTTCTTTTCATCAAGATGGTCACAGTAATTTATACAGTGGTTGGAATGTTATCCAATATCGGTCGACTGTGAGCCTCTTTTTCCATACTTGCCAACATTCCTTTATCTCTAAGGCGAACTAAAGACTTTGCATCACCCTGTGTAATACTACTTTCACCAGCGCACAAACACTTTGTGTTCAGTACATATGTTTATGGAAGTTACAGCTTAAAATGTTGTGGTATTTCTGCGTCAATGATATATGTTTATTCCTACGTGTACTCGACCAGTCACTGATGTATAATATTCTTAATAATAGGCAGCTGAACAAATTAGGCAAAGAATACTTAATTTATGTTTCCTTTCTTCTAATACTCATCTGTTAGGCTTGACTGACACTGTTTCTCTTTTTGGCTGTATAAAACAGGGACATCTCTCATGCAATACTAGGTGTTGTTAGTCTGATTTTCCAAAAAAAGTCAATTCCTTGAAGGTTTAGATAGCTTTCAACAACGAGATTTAGTGATCAAGAAACTTGAATTAATCGGTGTATGGAGATTATCGCAAACTGTCAAAAACCACACAGTAATCCATAAATAAAAATGGAGATGTGACTCATTAGCTTATGCAATCGACTTTTAAGCAGTAAGCGTTAGGCCGAAATCTCATTCCACTTATTTTGGCCTGTGTGGCCTGTTAGTAGAGTAAGCCGGTACAAAAAGTAGCAACTTATAGCCTAGTTAATAAACATATGCTTAGTTGACTTGGATGAATACATTTCACTGAACTGAACGGTATAGACTTGTTATTTAGCAACTATAATTTGTGTTGTTTGATGTTGAGGCTGTCTCAGAGATCCTTGTCTTTTCAGTTCGCATCAGGAGCCTGAAATTGATCTTATAGTCTACTTGATGGCCAACAAAGGAATCTAGCATGCGCTTTTTGTCCTATTCGGAACTCGTCAGTTAAGTGTACTTACACCTCTGTGAGTGGGTGGTGGGAACTGTAACATAATGAATATTTAGGTAGTATCAAGGCATTTCCACAGGAGATCGATTAATTCAATCCAGCACAGCAACGAAAGAATACACATCTCATCAATAGGTGAAGTTGATTTTATTCTCAAGGTAGGGATAGAAAAAAACATTTTCTGTCTAAGATCATCACTGTGATAAAACACGTTGAAATGTTAATTGATGAAAAGGGAATGAACCTATTTATTAGTGAGATGCAGTATTTTTTGTTTCAACACATACAATTGACTCATTTGTTTTATGTTGATTGCTGACTGTCATCACCTCGTATATCCTTTTAGAACAAGCCAAAATCGATGAATTTCCTAGAAATCTTAGAGTCAGAGAAGGATCTAGTCAAGTAATTAAATGCAACGCTAGTGGATTTCCCGATCTATATGTCGTTTGGCGATTAAAGGTTAGTAAATATGCGATGTTACGTATTTGTTTTTAGTATATAATTATTGTTAAAGATTTACTAACCTCTCAACAAGGCTAGTGTTCCCCACTTCAACTTGCATTAAAAATTGTCGGGTTAAAAAGTAAAGAAGTCTGAACATTTTGTCAGATTGCGTATAAGTAATGTTGGATTATTACTGTCTGTGCTCTATTAGTCCTACGTTCCCCAGATGTCAAAAAAATTATTTTCTGTATGTCACTTAAGGTTCACATAACAAATGCGTGAAATCAGTGGTTGGAGACTTTTGTTAATGCGTCTTAAAATCAAACTCATTGACACAGATACATCTACACATTATCTTCTACTGAATCATCATGTGTAATTTCACTGTTGTTTCATTTCTTTTTGTGTTCTTTTTACAAGTTTCTACCAATTCTAACTGTTTGACACCATCTATGCTGTATGCTGATAAGTAGTATGGCGACTTACATCGTTACGCAGTAATGTCAGCTCCCACGTTTGATGCTGACTAAATGACTGTTACATTTTGTTGGATTAACCAAAACTTCATACTAATTAAAATTATCTGAAACGAGTGATTTAATAGTTTCATGTATGGAACCTACTGTTGTTCACGAAAGCCTATTTCGTTTTGTTGTTTTTTAAATGTTACGAAAGATTCGTGTATTTTTAGCTTAGATAGAAATAATTCCAATGAATGATAGTTTAGTATGCATCTTTTATAAACCAGAGAGACAGAATCAGCGTAGAACCTAGCACACCCATGTATCAGTTCAAGTTACTACACTTTTTTGTAGTACACAAAGACAGATGCATAGAAAAAGAGCAATATTAAAGTAGAAAAAGTTGTGTGATTCCATTCGTCTTGGAAACCGCAACCAGGCAGTCTACATCTCTCCACACGACTCAGACCAACAGTCAGGGACTTTGTGGACTGGTGCACCTCTTGGTTTTTCCCACCTTAAACTCTTTATCAACCTAATACAGATTCTCTTAGCATACCACGATAGGTTAGGTGGCGCCTTGGCATTTGAAGTATACGTTCAAGTCACCTCAGTCGATAAAGGTTCACGACCTCATCGATGGACTTGCCTATCTTGCCTATTACCCATCACCTGACCTCAACACTGCTGACATAGTGATTCCAGCAAACTCAAACGATACTACGAAGGCAAGTGTGATTAAAACTTTGTAACGGATTCTTGTCTTCTGCTTTTAATGATCATGTCCTATAGACGTATAACAGGAGAGAATGAACTGCAGCGCAGTATAATCATTTTTGACAGATAGTCTAATATCTCGCCAGTCGGCATCACAGATGACGCTATTTTGCAAATGCCAAATGGCTCAGATGGAAATAATGCGTATAAAAAAGTTCAGCTTCTTGTGGTTTGATAAAATTTTGAATATATGTTGAGGTTGATCAGTAATTAGGACTAGACAACATGAAGTTGGTTGCTCTTCAGTGAACAATCAATGAACTGAAGTGTGCTAAATCAGAAATTAGCCTAAATTATTTATTTAGCCATATAGAATTTTTTGTTTCAGTCCCTAAGGTTACATGAATTGTAATATAACGTCTAACACATTTACACTTCATCTGGTTGGGAGTATGTAGCTCCAGTAGTTGTAAACTCAAGGCAGACAGAAATGTACAGATTATACCCTTTTTTATTACATTTAGTTCTTTTTACCTGGATACAAAAAAAGTAATAAAATAAACTGGGTTTTTTTTCATACTATGTTTATGACTTATGAAGAAGTGAAACTAGGATTGCTTAGCTCAAAACTGAAGAGAAAACTTATTAAAGGAAGACATTTGTAGTGATAACATAGTAACCTGAAATGGAATATCTCTCTCATCACATCCAGTGATTAAGATGATTGAGTAATGGGTAAGCATTCTGGATAGAGTTTGTAGCGTAGTAGAAATCAGTTTCCATGAGAATATAAATCATGTAGATTAAAATCACTCACAGAATGATAGATTCATCTACTCTCCACCTTAATACAGGTATTAAACATATTTATACCTACTCTTGATTTATCTGATATTCTAATTACTGATATCTTTCCTATATCAAATAAGTTGATTCAGTGTTAATACACAGTGATGTAGTATTACTTACTTGGTGACATTTCAAGTATAACTTATTGCTAATAACCATGTCGAGGTCTTATACTTCTGAGCGATAAATTACGCTCGAAACGCCATCCAGTAAATTATGCTCACACCATGATGCTCAAACTCCACTTCTATGTTTCTCTTGATAACTGATTACATGACTAATATGTTGGTCTGGGCTTGGAACACTCAACGTCTAAAATTGATGACTTGTAATATGATCTTGTAACAGACTTGTCTATCTTTATGCTAACTCAGGCTTTTTTCCATGCATGGAAAAGTGTTAGCAGTCAAAACTGACATGACTAAGGTTATATTCAGTATAATTGTTTTTATAGCATGCCGTCGTTGCTTGAACCGAATTGATCGGTCTCTATTGACATATGGGCTCCTGATTCCGAATTCCGGTGGAAACAACATCACTCACTGGGAAGCAGGTACATCCAGCTGACCAGTGAGTCCCAAATAGGACGAAATGCGCATCTTACATTCCACTGCTAGCCACGATCCATCATTAATATGGTTATATTTTTCGTCATTAATGTGATATGATAGAAACATCATGCATAGGACCACTGAATTTTAACGACTCGAAAATTCCTATTACCGTAGTAAATAAGCTTACTGAGTTTCGTTATTGTTTTCAAGATGTTCGATAATTATCATGAAGTTTTAGTTGGAATGCCCGTAATTATGTCATAGTGATACTGTTCATCTACTGATCAGAGGTTCGTTGATCCCAATTTTTCCAGGTTTTCTCAATTTTCATGATGTGAAAACAGTGTAAACATCTTACAGTCTTATTGTTATCCTTTCTCTAATACCTGACCATAAACATTCACAGTTTCTATTGCTTCATTGTTATTTGTAATTTGGCTTGTTAATTACAAAAATTATCATGGAGAAACTGCGAAATTCGAAGTTTTTAAGTCCTTTAAACTATCTTACCGTTTTTTTACTGTTGACAACCCCTTATTTACTTCAACTTTAGTTCAAGTTTTTGCCCGGTCCTAACCCCCCAACACCTTACTATAATCACAAACATGCGTTTTTTTAATAATATAAGTGGAGAACAAAATTTTCGTCCATATAATTTATGTTCTTTGGTCAGCATAAGCGTATGTTGAACCCTAATTGCCTAGTTTTTTTGTCACCCGAATGATTACTCATACTTATGTTGACAAACTAACCAACGTTACTTCCTACGATATATATATATATATATATAAGGAAATGATCAAATTAAAGTCCAGTTACATGCATTTCGTTCGTTTGCAAACTATAAAATAAAATGGGCTGAGCAGTAATGTTATCTGTCTTTGGTCAAGAAATGTTTACAAAGCCCTTATCTTAGAAGTTCACTTTTGCAAGCGATTAACGACTCAGCATCATGTGCAGATCTACTGCACTCAGCACAAAGAACAAGATCCGGATCTTCAACACTAATGTCAAGTCAGTGCTTCTATATGGTTGAGAAACTTGGTGCGTCACGAAAATCATTTTCAATAGACTACAGACATTCATCAACAGCTGTCTAAGCTCACTCGATACTGAAAATCAGATGGCAGAAAGAATAAGCAACAAGGAACTCTGGCTGCCAACGAACCAACCAAGAACTTATCGCTCAACAAATGGAGAGGAGGCTGATAGAGGATATCACGCGCCAGGCCCTTGGGGGGAATCCAAATGGGAATCGACGAGTTGGGCGTCCGAGACGAGGGCGACATAGAGATGATGTGAAGAAGAAATGAAAGCTTGTGGACAGTAGTGGAGCCAGGTTCAAAAGACTGCGAAAAACAGAGTGGAATGGATACGTGTTACTGAATCACTATGTTCCACTAGGAACCCAAGGGACAAATAATAACAGTATAATAATAATCATGGACACGAATTCCACTCTATCCACTTTAATCTCAGCAACTGCATACTTCAAGTATAGCTTAAAGCAGATTAAATAAAACTTACAATGAGTGTTAGCGTTGTATTATATGGAATATATCTCGGTGCGCATACTAAGCGTATCAAGCCTGTTTTTTGATGAATAACTCATTATCATCATTATCAAGATCAACATAGAACTAAGCATTACTGTGTAACGATCAAAAGAAGTGTAAAGTAGTAAAAGAAAGGACAGAGGAATGGGAAAATGATGTGATTATGTAAAGTGGTTAAGATGATGTTAATGTTTGTGTACATCTACGCCACTGACATCGATTCTGAGCCATATCACTTCGGGTCTCCAACCACTCGTTTCTGTTGTCCCTTTGACCCAAACGACCTAGTCTGCATCGCTACACATAGCTCAAACCTACAGTCAACGACTTCATGCTCTTATGCCGTGTTTTAGTTCGGCCACCCCGAGCCTCTCTTCAGCTTAAACCTACTTCGATCAACATTGTGCTACGAGGCAGATGGTGGCTAGGCATACGCAACACATATCTCAGCCAGCCATCCTAGTCAATGGAAGGCTCACAACCACATCAAATATCTTACCTCTCATCCCTGAAACTCTACACCTCACTTCTACATTACTCAAATGGTGACACCATGAAACACGCCCAATACTACGAAAGCAGTGATGGTCAAACACCTGAAGCCTTCTCATGTCGTCTTTCTTTAATCCTCATACAGCATAATACACTCGACTCTCAATAGACAATCGGATGTCGCGGCGGCGCTATAGATAGCGTAAGTTGACGAAACCCAACCAATCCTTTTGTATCCGTGCAGAGATTTCGTTTTTCGCTGGCCAGCGCACCAGAGCTGATATGACCTCAAAAGTAAGTGAAGTGTTCAACACTCTGAACCACTTTGCTCTCTGTTGTTAGTCGGGTTATCGTTGAAGACCAGTCATGGAGCAACAATTTTTCAT